ATACAGTATGCGGGTTCTCTTGCGAGATGGCGTTAAAACTCGGATTTTTCCGGCAAATTTCGGCATTTGTACTAGTAAAATGTTGAAAATCACAGAAAAACACAATGAAACTTTGGCGAATCAAAAAAATACTTGGCGGGCATATGTATGACATTGAGAATTACATTTGCACCAACTTGGAAACAAATTGGACAGAGCATATCAAAGTTATAAGAAGTAAAAAACAGACGGACGGACAGAACCCAATCTATATGCCTTCGGCAGACTTCGTATAAAGCATAAAACACACATTTGACATGGAAGCTATGTGTAATGTAGCAAGCTGTTTTAATTGCTGTTGCGGAAGAGTTTTAAATTATTTTTGTTAAAGGCATATATTGGTTCTTGGAAAAATCAACATAATAACACCCTCTAATTGAGACTCGCATTATTGAATCAGGGGAGTAACTTCCCTCAAATTATGACATGTGGTCCATCCATAAGATAATGATTGCATCCAAATTAAAAATTAAAAATGATACTGATTGAATATCATTCTACTATGCAATGTTTTTGACTTTATCAATATGTTTGTGGCTTGCTTTGCATATTGACGGTAGAAGTGTGTTTTTATGTTTTTAGTGAGCCTTTTTACGGCACAATTCAGTTCCAGGCTATGCTTCTGTCAATCTCTTTCTTGACTAGCAATCTCCTCCCCCGATATGTGACAGGTGTAGAACATTTAAGTACAGCTTTACCATCCACGGATTAAAGCAAATGTAACATTTAGTGCTCCAAAAACATGTTTCTGCTTTTGCTTACGTTGCTAAAATCAAATTCACTGGCCTCATGCATACAGGTATCAAGTTTGGCTGGAAATGTAGCCGATCTTAATGCCTAAGAGATTTGAACATTTACCAAATGCCACAACTCTTAATCCAAGTGCCACACTTTACATTGGCTGAAGCATTTGTATATATATATATATAAATAATCAGTTTGAAACGCAAACTGGGTGGTCAAATTTATATATATCACTATTGGCTGACATGACAAATGCTGTTCAATGTAGAGCATACTGTATATTACAAAAGGCCTTTCAAAAATTTCAGATTTCATTAGTCATTCTAATTAACCCTCTGTCAGAAATACATTGGCTCTTTAGTGCACCAAGTAACCAAAGAACGCCTAAATAGCCATTCACCCTTCCATAATGTAGAATTATACATAATCTAGGAAATCCCAAGTGTTGTATTATGGGAACAAATGCTGAAAACACCACCACTGCAGTATAACTATTAATGGAAATGGTTATTAAACATATAATGTAGCATGATTATCACACCATAAACGTAACAACACGCAACATGAAAAAGTAGAATAACAAAGTACTATAATGATATAAAATCCATAGTCAACAAGAAATTCACAAAACACAAAGGTGACTGATATTCAAACGAGGACATTGCATGGTTAATTGGAAATCAAATGTAAAAAATGTCACCGAGATTGGCTTCAAGTTCACAAGTTATGAATTATTAATTATACATGTTAAACAATTAATGTTGCCAGGTGATTAATTACGTTGTGGAAAAAGTTGTGCAGGGCAGTTTCAGTGTATTTATGCCATAGTTCACAACTATTTTTATGAGATATACATTCACGCTTTATATACACATTCATCTATACCTCCTAGGAATTAAACCTCAAAAGTAGTTGGTCACAAGACTAATTTGGCAACTATATACTGTATATAGTCTGCTCTATATACTTGGCTGACCTAATTACAGCGAAGTTACCACGGACTCCTTGCATGGACCGCTTAACAGATGATATTAACATTACAAGTCATTACGAGTAAAATTGCAGGAGATGCTCACTCCTGGACAACTGCCCACATCACACTGTAGAATTACCCAGCACACTGACCTACTCTGCATCACAAAATCAATCCTATTCATCACTCCGGCCTACATTAGTTAAATTCAATACACCCACCTGTGCATACAACTAATTCCAATTCGCACTCGCATACCAGCACACTGCTGTTTATTTATTATGCAAATAAATTACTTTTACAGAAATGAAATACACATACACCAACATATCGAGTTAAAGCTCCTGGCTTTAATACCGCTCAAAATAATTAAGAGAAATATAGAACAAAAAATACAATGAATAAAGTCACTAAAATAGGGGATTGTTTAGGGAAGTGTGCATTGGTGATAACTCACAGTTTCAGGATGTAATAACGGACGACAGTCAATGGTTTCTGCAACACAACAACGAAGAAATACAGGAGTCTTGCTTGCAGAGGAACGCTGGTAATCTAGAGGGCACCGCTGGAAGCAGGAGATCGCAGAGCAGTTCATACAAGTCTCACAGAATGATGGTTTTAGCCTGTATCTTTTGTCACACAATATTGTAGCAGAACACACAAGAAGCAAGTTGAAATGATGAACTCCCAACTGTCCTGAATCTGTCCAATTTATAGGCATGATTCAGTGTCACTAGCTGGGTTTCCACATGAGCCAATCAGAATGTGATCTTGCTAGCAGCCGTGTTACGTAGGCAACTTAGTAGATCATAAACATTCTTTGTTATTCAAATAACAGCACACCTGGTGGATTCCTATTTTCCTTCCAAAGTTGTAAACACCCTTTGTTATTCAAATAACAGCACACCTAGTAAATTCCAACTGTCCTTCCAGAGTTGAAAACAAGTATGACCTGTCACTCACCTTTATGACATTTATCACAATGCACACCGTTTCTTCCCATGATTCCATGCACACTTCCATTTGCAGGGTTTGAGGTTATATGACAGAAACATAAAATGAAGGATGCTGACAGACATCTTAGTAAGCTGTATATATACAAGTGATTTGTTTGTAAAACAAAATCATGCCCATACTAGTATACATCAAAATCAAAATTCTGCACACTACAGACTATGGATAAGCATTCATTTCCGCGGTTGCATATGCTTTTTCTCTGTGTTGCAACTTACGACTTGCATATGCAACTGGAAATACCTCCTCTTCAACATGGTACCCTTCGAGCAGTACTGCACCCAATCCAGTATTACATGCAACTGTACACAACATAAACTGCTTTGAACAATTGAGTAGCCATATAATGGGGAACAAAATTAAGTTGTTTTTAGGGTTATAAAATCCCATTTAGGATGATTATGCTCATTCTTTCTAGTCAAGTCATTCAGAGGTGATAGAATTGTTTTGTCGAAGGGTTATTTAGCCTCGTTGAGGTGATGCAGTTTGTTTGGTTGGTGTTACCAACCAGCTACATGTCCCAAGAAATCTAGGGATGAAAATCCAATTACATATGACGATGACGATTACATGACGAGGTTTCTGTCTCACTGGCTCATCCAATGTGAGGCTAATCTCGTGCTCTCCAAGATTGGTCCTTCCTGGAACATCGGTCAGAACACCAGAGTATTTCCCCAATATTTCCTTCACCTCAACCTTCTGTTCCTCTTTCAAACTGGAGCTTACTGCTACATCCTGTATAGAATGAGTTGGCTGTATGGTGGAAAGTTCAACAACTCCTCAAAGGAATCATTATTTTGATTACCATGACTGGATTCATCTTTCGGTTTAACATAGAGCTTTAGCACGTTAGCAGGAAATGTCTTCTTTTTGCCTGAAATATTAATCTTGTAATTAGTATCATTCAATCGTCCCACCACTGGGATAATGTGACAAGCGTGTATGCAATTAAATTACTTTTACCGTACTATAACCTATGTACATAAATTAATAATCAATATAATAAACAATATACACAGATGTCAAACAATAAAATGTTGCCAGGTGACTAATCACGTTGTGGATAAGTTGTTCAACAGTGCAGTGCAGTTGCAGTGTATTTATACAACTATTTTGATATAACTCCCGTCCGTCCACGACACATTCACGCTTAATATACACGTTCATCTGCACTTCCTGGGAATGAAACATCAAAAGTAGTTGTTCGCTCGTATTTTTCGACTTGTTGTCTACAGGGCAAGCTCGACATGTGAACATAGAACGTAAATCATTATAAAGGTACGTGAAACATTAACTGGCTAACATGATTTCTGTACTCATTAAAGGGTAGCAATATGGCAGCATCGACTGTTCCCAACATTGACTTCACGGCATATAATCGAAATACAAGAACACCTGATGCCGAGACTTACCAGAAGCTCATCGATGACGTACATCATGGTTTCACTACCAGTGGATGTGTTTATTTTATAAATCATGGCATTCCGGAACTTGCTGTGAGTGGAAACACATTGTAATAAGAATGTACATTTTGGTAGTGTTAGACTTTGTTTTGGCTACTGCAATTGCAGTTCGACCCCAATGTATACACAGTAGTTCATTGCAGATTAGTCCAGCTGAGGTAATGCCTCGGTGTTCCCTTTCTTGCCAAATCTTACAAACTTCAACTCATGCAACCGCTGCCATGATCACATAATTACCGGGGATGTGTCTCAAATGTTAAAGCACTGCCACTGTTGAAAACAACTTGTAAATAAAGTATTTATAAAAGTCCTGGATGTAGTATTGTAATAACATTAAAATAGGGTATAATAAACGTGCAATTTACTGAGTACAACTTCGCCTAATGTCGGTGTGCTTGGGGCCACATGTGGGAACAGAGGTTTCTAGTACATGACCTCTCTCACATGTCTTTACGTTATGGGTGTATAGCTCAAACATCGACCTACTTAGCCAACGACGCTTACACTGAAAAATACCAGGTTCGTCCCAGGAATAAACGTTAGTTCATTGTAGATAGTACAGCTTTATTCTTTCATAATTGGTTTGTCTTTGAATAGAATATGGTGCTAACTGATTCCAGTAGTTTAGCTTGTTTGTCACGAATTGTCACAATACAGATAGTCTGGCTTTATTCCTGACATGTGAACATAGAACGTAAATCATTACAAAGGTTCATGAATACATAAACTGTCTTACGTGACTTCTGCACTCATTGAATGGTAGCAGTATGGCAGCATCGACAGTTCCCATTATTGACTTCTCGGCATATAATCTAAATAGAAATACGCCTGATGCCGAGACTTACCAAAAGCTCATAGATGATGTTCATCATGGTTTCACTACCGCTGGATGTGTTTATTTTATAAATCATGGCATTCCGGAACTTGCGGTGAGTGGAAACACATTATATACGCAGTAGATCATTGCAGATTAGTCCAGCTTTATTCACCCAAATGATCAGCTGAGGTAATACCTCGGTGTACCCTTCCCTGCCAAATCTTACAAACAAACTGCTGCAGCCGTCGTCATGATCACATAATTACCGGGGATGTGTATCAAATGTTAAAGCACTGTCACTGTTGAAAACAACTTGTAAATAAAGTATTTATAAAATTCATGTTTGTAGTAAATGTTTATAATGCCTGTATGTAGTATATGTTTATAATTACCTTACAAGTTGTTATAATATAAATTGTGATAACATGAAAATAGGGTATAATAAACGTGTAATTTACTAAGCACAATTTCGCCTAATGTCGGTGTGCTTGGGGCCACATGTGGGATCAGAGGTTTCTAGTACATGACCTCTCTCACATGTCTTTACATTAGGGGTGTAAAGCTCTAACATCGACCTACTTACCCGACGACGCTTACACTGAGAAATACCAATTTCGTTCCAAAAGGAATAAACGCAAGTTCATTACAGATGGTACAGAATGATTCATCCATAATTGGTCTGTCTATGGTGCTGATTCCAGTAGTGTAGCTTGTTAGTCACGAATTGCCACAATACAGATAGCCTGGCTTTATTTTTCAAAACGGCCAGCTGAAGTAACGCCTCGCTGCTCACTTTCATGGCAAATTTTACATAATCTAAGGCGTGACAGAGTAAACATGCGATCAGCCAGTGGCTGTTAGTTAAGGTATAGAAGCAGATTCGTGGGCACTCGAAGTGAATTTTTTGTTTGTTTTTTATTATTCAAACAGGCTTGCTATAGACTGTTAAAATTTCGCAGCATTATGAATAGTGGGACATACTCAAAACACGATTTTAAAATATAGAAAACTGGTACAAACATTCTCTCTTTTGAATGCTTAGCAAGATTTAGCAAGGCTGTACATAAACAATCAAAAAGAAACATGGAGAAAAAAAGTAATGACGGGATCTCCATATTATGCACTATATTTAACTTTTTACAAAACGATAATATGTTTAAAGTTGGAACTGTTACAGCCATTTTAATTATGAGCATTAGCAAACTTCTTACTGAGTGAATGATTATGCAAATTAGCAATTATCTCCACTTGTGTTTTTCAGTTTACCATGGCGTTCAAATCTAAATAGCTCGGACAGGATTACGTAAAACCGATGAGATATTCATACAGTTATATAAACATAGCGACCCGATTGGGTGGAATGAATCACGGTTTTTCAGTAACCGTGGTTGAGTCTAAATTTACCTTTCCTCAAACCTTTAAAAAAATACTCGTGGTATGTATAACCGTGGTATGACGCAGTTTTTCATGATCTCAGGTGAAATGGATCGTGCGAAGTTAGACGGCCAGGTTGAAATGGGCCGTAATATTTTGCTATACAACGGCTATTCGCAGTTTTTGTACTCAATCTCTCAAACGCCGGTGAGAAAAAGTCGAAATGGAGACAACCATTGTAAATCGAAACAGGTTTCATTTAACTACGAGCAGACGAGACGGGTCAATACAAATTTAAACGAACCCTGACCTCTGGAAATACCTCATTCATAGAGTACCATAGTACCAGAGGTCGCCGAGCACGGCCGAACAACGTACTTTTCGTCATCGCTACAAATGCATGCTAGCTGACAAGGGGGTTACCGATTAAGGTAACCAAGATGGAGTCGCAGAGTGCGTGATTTTTCCGCGGTGTTTAAAAACAGCATCTCGTTGCCGATGTTTCTGTAATCTTCGGGGTATTTTTTATTTTTAATTAACCAAGCATTTCACGTTTGTGTATTTTGCCACTGAAAAGTTAGTTATCGATGACAGCACAGCAATGGTCTGAATGGTGTTTATCCACTACATCGCAATGCTATCAGCACGGTGATCGTTACAGCGAAATGATAGATGTATAATTAGTCAGTTTTATAATGCCATCGGAGAAAAAAATGAGTGAAAAAAAATATTTAACAGTACTCCACTGGAAGCTGCCAAGTTAGAAATTGTCGACATGTTGCGAGATAAGCGTGAAGTGAAGAAGTTTACTTATCATTTACAACTGTATGTTTTTTTGTATTCCGCTTGCATGCTGGAAGCGTCTACGTCTTGTCTTTTTTGTAGTTTACAAGACTAGTTGGTAGCGCTTGAGGTAAGTTAAACAGGGTGGCGGACAGGAAGTTACACATCGCCGCACCGTAACTGAGGCCAGCAACTCCTTTGCATATAACATCAAAAGTAACTTGTCAATCAAAGAGCAACGTAAACACACTTTCGGAACTCTTAATCGCGTGCCTCGATTCCCTATATTTTAAAATCCATTTTCGGCATGTACCAGCATTGACAATGCTCCGAAATTTCAACACTATCTAGCCAAGCTAAAAAAAATAATTCCGAGTGCCCACGAACCTGCATCTATACTTTAAGGCATTTCTAAAATACACAGATAATAGATAAAGTATTTATGAAATTCCTGTGACACATGGTTAAATTATCTACTGAAAGTTGTTGATTCTAAATAATAAACGCTCTAAAAATGTGAAAGGTGCGTTAAAAAAGATTCTACAAATTATCAAACAAGGTTAAACAAAGGTACATAAGGTTAAGTATACATTATGTTATAATATGCTTCGCTAGAATTGCCCTTACAATCATATTGGCGATCCGTTTAGCTTGGATTGCCCTTATAATCGCTTTGTTGTCTGCGTCTGTGCAGTGATTTCCAGTGTATTCAAGCTGAGTGAAATGAGCTATGTCAGAGGTGTCAAACGGCATCAAAGCAATAAAATCAAGTGTCGTAAAGCTCGTGCTATAGCATTAAATTGGCTCAAAGGGGTATGCTCATGGTTGCTGGGAATTGTACAAGCCTTGCCACAGTTAAAACATGACGATTTTAGTCCTTTGTTTGCGCTCAATTCATTATTGTTTTATATTATTTCCAATGGGGCAAACGATAATGCATTTGTAATGAACTTGGTACAAAAATGCAACAATAGAAATGTTGTATCAACATATGTTGTAAGTGTGTGTTACTGTTTTCAGTAATATAACACCAAAAGTCATACGACAGGGCGTTGTATCGTCCCAGTACGGACCAGAACTACTCTATTTTGGGGCAAGTGTATTTCTATAATATTTCTCAGTTCAATTCATAATTATTCAGTAAAGACATCACTGAAACGTTATATTGTATCCTCAAAATACGTGCCGATTGACAACTGATTTCTAAAAAAATCCCGGAACTCATTTTGCGATATGTGTTAGATCGGTGTAGAGAAGACGCCGGACTACAGAGTCGATGAGCTGAGCTGAGGTTATCTTTTTGAATATGGTAGCCCGTGTGATATTGGTGATTCAATAACAATATTTTAAGAGTTCTTAGATCAAAAGAAAAATGAGCAATGTTTTATATATCGATTGATTGAATACTTCCTGAAAGAGAGACGATTTTTAAGATATATTGCTACATTTTATTTCCTAGTAAAATTGTATGTATTCGTGTTTTGGAGGTATTGATTCTAATGTATGAATGTTACGTTGACCCGGACATGGATATTACTCTGCGTTTAGGTGTGTAACTACTACAGTTGAACTCAGGTTATAGACAGATTATTTGTATAAAGAAAATCAAAACATACATTGTATGATATATATATGTTGACCTCGCCATGTCGTCAGAGTGTATTGTTTTCATAGCCTACTTATCAGGTGTGTTGTATATGATGAAGATAAAAAGTATATCGTCGTAAATGTCATGTCATAAACTCTCTGAACATATAGTCAAATAATTCCCTAAATCAATGTGTACTTTCACTTATATAAATTTTAAAAATATATCCTTCTAGATTGACAACGCATTTCAGCAATCAGTGAAATTCTTCACTTTACCAACAGAGACGAAGGTGAAGTATTCGAGACCTGATAATAGTAACCATGGTTATGTTGCAATTGGCTGTGAATCGTAAGTAACTTTAATATTGTAGGTGATGTGACGTATTGGAGCACACGTTACAAAACAAACAAACTCAAATAGGATAGATTCGAATTAGCAATGAATAGCGTATCACAATAAACAGAACGCTTTCTTATGTCGCCTATTACAAAATCCGTAGCCTTTGCAATCTTTCACCAAACATTAATATTTGCATTGAATACATAAGTATTTTTCTGCGACTCTTGGACTTGTTTATTTGTTTTTATATATTGTATGAAGGATTCAAAGCATTCTAAGACCTTATTTTTTCAAAGTATCTTCAAATGTATTATTCTATAGTGTTATTATCAATGACTTTATGTTATGCTTGTATGATTAAATCATGTTGACGAAAAGATTTTTAGGAATAGCCATAATAATATTTGTTTATAATAATATTACATGTGCAAATCCACGTGAAGACTTCCGAAAATTCAATTGGAGCTCACGGCAAATGAATGTTATATTTGATATTATAAGGGCCTGTGCTATATTTGCAGTCTTTCCGCCGATAGACCTGGAGATTATAAGGAATCATTCAATTATATACCTTTGGAGGGAGACGCAAACACAAGGGTAAGAGGATATACTTTTTATTCCGACTCAGGTTTCAGAGGGGAAATTATTTGCTACTATTATTAAAAAGTGTTCAGTTCTGAAAATTTTGAATTTTCAAAGGAATACCATTGATTTCATTAAATATCAATGTAAATGCAACGGATTGATGTACGATAACTTTAGTTGGCCACCATTGATCCAGATCCACAAGTATCCTAGTTTTCAATCGGTTACAATTATTAAACATGTTTATGTGTGGTACTGTAGATATTTCCGAATGAAGAGGTACCAAAGTTCTCCCAAGCATTGACTACTCTGTACCAGAAATGCATACAGTTAATCAACCGCATATTAGAAGTCATTGGACGGGGACTGCCAATAGAGGTAAGAGTAACCAAATATTGGACTCTTGACTAAAGACAATTACACAATTTGGTGGTCTTATCGACAACTAGACGAATGCACACTCAAGCATGTGAACATCTTTAGGTTTGGTTGATAACGAAAGTACCTTCATCTGCCAATCTTTTAATCGACTGTGGTCAGTAATAAATGTTATATCTGAGAGAGACCATTCTCAACAATTCTCTTATATTTTGTAGGATCCTCTTTTGTTCGAAAAAGCTCATGAAGGGCTTAACAGTGAAGCCAATATGTCAACATTGAGAACTGTATGGTATCCGCCAATCCAAGACGATGACCTCAAAACCGATCAGATACGATGTGGTGAACATTCGGACTATGGTTCAATTACTCTGGTATTCCAAGATGACAAAGGAGGGTTACAGGTAATTTGAATGTGCAATGAATAATCATGTTTATCACCAAAACATTGTTGTGATGTGATCAGCTTCATTTGCTATTGCATAATTCATTTCCTCGAGTCTGTCTTCATTGTTTTGCATGGAGCACTATGTGATCACAATGCTGCCCATGGGCCTGTTTCTTTTGTTCTGATTATTATTGCCCAATTTTCTGGAGGTCAAGGATTATTATTGCAAAATTTTCTGGAAGTCAAGGATTATTATTGCACTATTTGCTGGAGGTCAAGGACTTCCGACATTCACTTCAACCGATGTTTAATTTCACGCAATATTTGGTAGACAACAATTTTAAGGTATTTTTTCAAACCGAATTTTTCAGATATTTTTATTGATCACGTGGTTCGGCGGCCAACTTTTGGATTTTGTAATAAACATGACTTAACCGATAACTCATGATTTATTTGTCGATGTGATATACTGTCGTGTGTGCAGGTCATTTAAAAACAACAGACAGAAGATAACTTCATTATAATGCATATTTGCATTATCTCAAGCACTTAAGCATATTTTCAAGTGTAACAAGTGCATTATTGAAGTCTAACATGTGGATAACAAAACAGATTTCTTTTCTTTTCATTACACGTCAGTAAAAACTACCAAGCACTGTAAAGAATTAGTTCTTGCAACAAGTCTTATAAAGAAGACATTGACAACAAGATATGGCTAACATATAAGATAACCATAGATAGTCGTGCTATTTTATTATTTAGGTTCCTTTCATTAACGCATATTAGATGTGTTCATTTCATGGTGATGATTAGTTTACTATTTTGATGAATGTTTTTGTCATTTGGTAAACATGATATTTTTGTATTTGTCTGTGTACATGGAGCATTGGTAATGTATTTTATTTACTGTCAGCTTTCTATCATATAGAGACTGTAAATTATCATTAATTCTTAAATAATGGCCGGAAATGATCCAATTTGAAGGGGTAAATTATATTTAGATATAGATAGATAGATACGGGGATGCTGCCAGATTGACAGTACAGTAGTGAAATGGGCGCGTTCCCTAGAAACCAAGCCTACGTCCAAAGCAACCAATAATTAAACAACATAGTTTGGTAAACATAAACACTAACTGATTCTTTATTTAGTAAAAATATATATTTCCTTGCACCTACGGAGAAACTTAATAGATTACAGATTAAAAATAGCACATAGCATGACGTCACACTACCGCAACCATGTTTTAAGCTACCGGATAACTAAGACATTGCTCATATGCGCGTATTCGGTGTTGTTTGATTTATTTTCACCGAAGAAATATACCAAAGCATCGCCTACGGCTCGGATTGATACAAACCTCTTGCTAACATCAAGCTAGGATCCAATATCATGTTATTATATACAAATATTATGTCTCGTGATCATGACAGGCAATCGATATGTGCATGTGCAAGACTGTCGCAAATTAGAGCGAATTGCAAACGAACGCATGGAAATATCTTACATGCTAACGCAAACTATTTGTATGTAGTATTTTTTAACAGCCACGTGTTTGCGATAATATTCAACAACATATTATAACGTTTAATTTGGTAGTTTTCTCAATGTGCCTTGAGTTTGCAAATGTGCATTTCAATCAGACAGATAGTCAAATGATTGTTTTGGATTGTTATGCAAGGACATTTGAACAACTTTTGAGCATTTGTCCTAGAAAAGCATTGTACTTATTTGTAATTTTTCTAGATGGCGTGTGAAGATGGTAGCTTTATGGACGTCAAACCAGAAAAAGGGGGTGTTTTTGTGAATCTGGGATACTTAATGGAGAGATGGACATCTGACACATTGAAAGCAAGGGTAAGTATCAGCAATAATGTCATTTGTGACATCTTCTTATCTTGCTTTGTTTTGTATCTCCAAGTTTTCAAATAATATAAAACGACACGGACGCATATATTAAAATAGTTTCACCGTTGTCCAGTGACCATTTTTGCGGATCGTGTAGGCCTTTAACTACCAATAGCGTCAGAGTGTACAAACATTGTTGACAACAAACAACTAGTGAATGGATAATGTTTGGAACAAAGAGTACTTTCCTCATAAATTAACAGTTAGAAAAATATAGATTAAGCAAAAAGTAGTATATATAATCACATACATATAACTTGTTCTCTTGAATATTCAAAATGAATGAGTAGTATTGTTTACGTGGATGCTAGTTGTGTAGTTGTGTAATAATGTGGTTAAACTATAGGGCACAGTTGTAGAGACATGTTTATTCCTTCTTTGCCTCGATACGTTGAATGATGTTCGTATACTATCTTTACAGGTGCAGAGAGTTGTAAACCCAGAATCCAGTGATTTAAAAAAACAAGCTTGTCAGTCACTTATTTGTTTTGTTGCCCCAGATAAAGCATGTATCATCAAGTGTGTGGATGGGAGCAACAAGTATCCTCCAATCACCAGCATGGATTTCCTCAACATGAAATTCGGTGAAATCTATCAAAATTTTCAGGCCGATTAAGGAGAATACATGCAATGTATATTTTTATAACAGGGGGTTTGGTTTATATGTAGCGGATTTTAGGTTTAATTCTAGTGGTATTGAGTGGGTATTGCCTTCTTTCTCCGAAACTTGAGTTCATTTTATTTTTATGAATATATATCAGTTTCAATATTGTAATCGAAGACAAATATTTGGCTATAGCTTCCTTTTGATCTTGCTGGAAATCATTTTTATTTCAAGAGATAGTAAATTGAATCAGACTCAAATATGCATGAAACATACATTTGACATGGAAGCTATGTGTAATGTAGCAAGCTGTTTTAATTGCTGTTGCGGAAGAGTTTTAAATTATTTTGGGTGAATGCATCTATTGGTTCTTGGAAAAATCAAAATAAGACTCGCATTTTTAAATCAGGGGTGTAACTTCCCTCACATTATGACATGTGGTCTATCCATAAAATAATGGTTGCATCCAGATTAAAAATGGCGGTCTATAGCCTATGATTCTGTCTCAATATCATCCTACTATGCAATGTTTTTGACTTTATCAATATGTTTGTGGCTACTCATTGCTTTGCATATTGACGTAGATGAACCTTTTAGGGCACAATTCAGTTCAATCTATTTCTTGACTACCAATCTCTTTCCAGCCGATATGTGGCGTGTTGAAGTACATATTTACCATTCAAGGAGTAAAGCAATTGTAACATTTAGTGCGCCAAAACATGTTTCTGCTTTTTTTCCTTTGCTAGAATAACATTCACTGGCCTCATACATACAAGTTATAAGTTTGGCTGGAAATGTAACCGATCTTAATGCCTAAAGGATTTGGACATTTACCAAATGCCACAAGTCTTAATCCAAGTGCCCAACTTTAGAATCAAGTCTTACATTGGTTGATGCATTTGAATATATTAAAATAATCAGTGTGAATGGGAAACTGGGTGGTTACATTTGTATATATCACTTTTGGCAAACATAAAAAATGCTTTTCAATGCAGAGCACAGTGTATATTGCAAAAGGCCTTATCATTATCATTCTAACTAACCATCTGTCAGATTGACATTGGCTCTTTAGTGCACTAAGTAAACAAAGAACGTCTAAATAACCATTCACCCACCCATAATGTAGAATTATACATATTCTGGACATCCCAAGTGTTGCATTATGGGAAAGAATGTTGAAACACCGCCACTGTGGCATAAATATTAATGGGAAAGGTTATTAAACATATAATGTAGCATGATCATCATATCATACATACATGTAACAACACGCAACATGAAAAGTGGAATAACAAAGTTCTCTAATGATATACGAATCAATAGTCAAAAAGAAATTTAAATATCCTATAACACAAAGGTGACTGACAATCAACGAGGTTATTGCATAGTATATAGTATTATATAAGGGCCTAAAATATATTTTGTTTTGGTACAATAACTTTAAATTCACACGATGAAGATACTACATTTAATATAAAAACTGGTTCGTATATTGCACTCGATAATTATCTAGCTTCTCCAATAACATTGAGTGGTCTTTCAAACGCTATTGTTATATCCAGTAATACAATTTAAAATTACTATTTACCATCGCTTTACTATATAAATTAATGCCGACATTAACACCATCTTACATTAACATCATTCGCACCATAATCAGGTTCTGTGGATTTGTTTATAGGTGTGAAGGCGCTCTTACACAGAGTCCTGCCTTCTGCTTGTCGCTGTGGAAAAAAATACGCTGTGGAAAAAAAAAAAATTTCACAATTGGTGAGTTATTGGATATAGAAATGAGTATATGCTTTTATGAATGTGTCATTAACATCTTCAAGAACGTTGGTGTTTGAAAAATGCTCATTGAATGCTTGAATTTCAAGTTTGTGGCTGAAAGATGTATGTTGTTTTGTCTGTAACTGACTGTGGAAGTAGTTCTTTTCGATGTGACGACTAGAGAGAGGTTTCTCAACTGGTACTTTGTTCCCAGATATTCAACTTTGGTATTTAACTTACTGTAATAAAAACGCTTTGGGTCCGGTAATAATAAGATCAATATTTTGCCAACCGATGACCATTTTGTTGATGAGGATGATGAAGGTTCGAAGAAATTTTTGTTTGATTATGTTGCATTGATTCTACATTAAACGTGGACAGGGCCAACAATATACATGATATGTTGAAATTGATTCACGAAATAGATAACGAGATTCTGCCGTGTTTTGTTGCAAAGTATTTGGGTAAATTACCACCAATTGATATAAATCATTTGGATGTCTCTGTAATGACCAGGAAAATAAACCCGTTAGATCAGAAGTATTTCAGCTGAAAGAATCAGCTTTACGATCTGAATAAAAGGTGGCAAATGCACAGTGAGATGAATTTCATGAAAAGATGTTTTGAAAACCAGGATATACAACCCGGGCCTGGATGTATACGGTCTGACGATTGCAAGGATTTGCGTGACACGGTATTGGAAGAGGAAAAGCAAGACAAGGCGATAGTCAGTCTATTCACGCTTATACAGGCTCAGTAGAAAAAACACTCTCTAATGAATGAGAGCAATACGATCACTTAAGCAAAACAAAAGTGAAGTCGCGTGTACCAGACATAAGTGGGAATGTAATACCTTTTAATAATGATATTTCATGTTTCCGAGGTATCCATGAATGTGGCACCTGTGTGTGATGATAGTGGTTTTGCAATGGTGAAGAGTCGGCGACGAAGGCGCCCTCAGCCGACAAATGGAACAACCAGTGCGGAAGAATCGTGCGCCGTCATGTTGGTTCGCTCTCAATTTCACTTCAAATTATTCGTATCTAGATTAGCACCGATCACAACATTAACCTGAAAGTAAAATGTTTGTTGTCGAATCTAATCAGGAGGTGTCTCATCGACTATTAAGTCCTTCTTCGGAGCCAAATTAGGTATTAATTCGAAAGTATTACTAATAATGAACATGACAGTCAGACTGGTCACATATAACTGTACAGGTGAAAAATCATCTATTAATGTTATCCCAGCGTTGTGTCACTTTCATGACATTGTTTTAATTCAGGTGCATTGGCTCTGTAAAAATAAACTTTCATTAATATTAAAAATGCATAAGAAGCTTTCATCATGTTAAGTTTTCGCTATGAACGACGAATTAGGAATCCGTATAGGGAGGTCATGTGGTGGAATAGAAATAATGTGGTGAAAGTAGTATGGTTAGTAATATGGCAAATTAAACATAGGAATTTTTCGAATACATTTTCTATTAATTATGTTCAGAAGTGTCAATGCCTTTATCACCTTTGAGATACATCCGTTGTAATCACGAGATCATACCACCTTCAGCCATTGGCATGTTTACTCTGTCACGATTATGTAAATTACTTTTATGAGCAGCAAGGCGTTACTTCAGCTGACACAAATCCAGACTATCTGTATTGTGATAAATCGTGATTCAACACCTAAATTACTGGAATCAAATAGCATCGTATGGATGAATAAAGCTGGACTATCTGTAATGAACTAATATGCTTTCTATTGGGTCGAACACTTTGGCATTTCTACAGTGTCAGTCAAAGTTTGGTAAGAAAAACATGAGTTCCATGCCGTAAAGACTTGTACAAGTATGTAATATGAACCTCTGACCGCACATGTGGCCCAAGCACACCGACAAGCTAAGTTGTGTTCAGTAAATAACACGTTTATTATACACATATTTGCATGTGATTACATTGCAATTTTTATTATAACAACTTGCATGTTCGAGTTGGACATTATAAATACATACTGCAGGAATTTTGATAATATTTTATGAATACTTTATTTACGAGTTGTTTTTAATAGTGACAATTTTACAATCCTTCAACCTTTAGAACATCCCTGGTAACACATCCCTGGTAATTACTGATCACGACACCGGATGCAGACATTAGCTGTTTTCTGTGCCACGCTTTCGATTTTTGTTTGAGTTTTAAGATTTTGCCAGAGAAGTAAACAGCGACGCATTACCTCAGCTGATCGTTTGGATGAATAAAGCTGGAGTAATCCGTAATGAACAAATGTTGATACATTTGTGTCAAACCTGTTATCTCTACAATGTGAGCACCATCGGCAAAGTGTGTCGACGTTCTCTACACACTACACTAGTATAACACCATCAGTATAACTAAGCATAAACTGCAAATCCAGTAGACGACAAAGATACTAACTCTGAAGAAAACTATCACCTACTTATTACTATTTGTTTGCAATGCCGTGATTTATTAAATAAACCCATATGTTTGGTAAGTCTCGGAATCAGGTGTATTTCTATTTAGACTATATGCTGAGAAGTCAATTACGGGAATTGTGGGATGTTATTATTTATATAACCACACTGTATACATATATGGTATGTGTGATGTGCATAGTGTAATATATCTTTCCACAAAATATTTGTATAGTAATATTATCTCTGCAAAAAAAATGAACTTGATTACCAATTCACTCTCTCATTTGAGGTTACTCAATGACTCGGAATGGTTGATTCATTAATCCCAGTTCCGATTATTGCCTGAGGTTTCCGTCTATTTGTGAACGGATTAAATGAAAAAATGTCAAGACTTTCGTGCTGTCAACACTCGTGGGATTCACTGGAAATTACATGCAATAACATGAATGCATTCACATTATTATTTCTTCTTTTTTGCTAATGGATAACCACTATTACAGAAGCTGCTCATTCCTGGACAACTTCCCATATCACACTGCAGAATTACCCAGCGTACTGGCCTACTTTTCATCACAAAATCAGTTATCAGTCATCCAGCCTACAATAGTTAAAATACATACACGCACCTGAAAGTGCATACGACTAACTTCCAATTCGCACTCGCATACCAGCACACTGCTAATTAAACCATCTGATTCATGTACACCTGTACACTAGTTGCAAAGCAACCACGAGGCACCATGAGTATATTATATGATATGCGTTTATTCAATTAAATTTTTACAGTAATATAACCTACATACACACATTACTA